GTGATTACTTTGAATCTATTTCGGTAGTCTCATTTTAGAATCAAGGTTCATTTCATTTGATATTATTTTCACCCACCTTTTTTAACTCATTTTTCTACCTCTGATGTATGATCACGACCGGTGAAGATTTTCCCCTAAATTGATAAAAATTGCGATCCCTTATGCTCTGTTGCCTTTGATGTAAACATGTATCATAAATTGATATAAGTATAAAACTTGTGCACTGTGGTAGGGTATAATTCCATTATAGATAAGATTTTATTTTGGTAAATCACACAGTATTATACAGTAATATTTAATGATGACCACATATCGAGCACAATTTATTACTGCTACTCATAATCACATCAAGGCACTACTCACACAACTTTCTAACTTCGTTTATATAATTCCATTATTTTCCATCGCTTGACTTGCTTGGTACTAGTGTTTTCCATATTTCTGATATGAGTGATGCGTCATTCCTATTGCATGTATTTGCTGTAGATTCTATGAAGAAAGATTCAGTAATCAATCTCTCTCTCCACCAACCTATACTACTTCTTAGAATTTTAATCCTCTCCCACCCTATTGTGTGGTTGTATGTTAATGCATGCAGTGCTATTGCTGAGTTTTATTCTAAATTCCTTATCTACTAGTTTGACCTATGTAGTTGATCCCTCTCACAGTCATTGCAAGGTATTTTGTAAATTATATTATTTTGTCTAATTTGGTCAACCGGGTCCTTCAACCTACAGCACTTGTCCCTGAATGAGTTTGTAGGTTTAAATGCCACTCCAATTCCTGCTTTATTAAGAATCCTACTACGTAGGGTCTCATGTGTCCCCTCCTTATATGGTATAACAGTAGATGTCTTATATTCTCTCTTATGTATGTTTTCACTATCAGTTTCCTCATTATTTTTATTTTGTGACCTTTTCTGATCTTCCTACTGAGAGTCGGTGGCACAGCGGTTAGGACGCTCGCCGACCATGCACATAGTCCGGGGTTCGATCCCCGGCCGACGCACACCCGATATCAATGGTCGGCCTGCAAAATTTGGGCTACCGATATTACATGCTGAAAAATCCATACTTGTATCAAAAATACTGTGTGTAGTCAAGCTATAATAAAATAAAAAAATAAATAAAATCTAGTTATTTTGACACTAACGCTTCTTCAATCTGTTTTATTTCATCATTTAGGTCTTTTTTGTAATAGTTAATGCTCTTACTAAGCTTTCCTCCACAGATAACGACGGATGAGATGAATTCGGTCGGTCGGTTTTCGACATAGAACTTTGCACCGATGTGCGACAGTTCAAGTTGCCACACTCCATGTACCACACAAAGCAATAGAAGAAAGTAGGAGAAATGCATAATATAGTCAGCAAATAGAGGTGTGAGACAAAGGAATAGTAATAACGAAGAACAAAACAGTTTAATTAGAAATCATAAGTCACAAGGAGTGGATGCATCTGAGTTAGCCATTGGGAACGATTTGAGCCATATCACCAATTGTTTCCAGCCTTCATTGGTGTTTACCGTCTCGAGGACCCCAACTACTCAGGAAGTCTACACCTCCCCAAGTGGCTTATACTAACTGTTGTGGATTTCATCGACTGATGAGGCCATGTTTTGGTTTGACAGCCGCTATTTCTTTTTCAACCTGAACGGTCCTATGTCAGCTAACATTGCCCGTCGGTCAAGGAAGGGGATGACTAGGCATACGTAGCACATGTCATAACCATCTCAGTCGATGTAATTTCACAGCCTCATCGACTTATTTCCCCTCCTTACTTAGCACTCGACTCCTAACCTCAATATTGCTCACCATATTATACCACTTCACGCGGGAGATAGAGCGCAGGCACCTATGCTCGAAGACAGCTAGCCGGCTTTACACGTCTTCCACTCTCAATGGCCAGGTCTCGCAGCCATAATGGAGGACGGAGCGGACTGTTGAGCAGTACACACGCCCTTTGGTCGATAGGCGGATATCGCGTCTACGCCACAGATGGCGTTAACTGGCATATGCGAACCTAGCCCTCTGTATTCGTGCTAAGATTTCGTCAGAGATCAACCCGTTGGGGTTGATGGTACTTCCCTGATAAGTGAAGTGGTCAACGTGCTCCACCACTTCACTCCCTATCTTTAAGCTAGGAGTCAATGTGGTCTAGTCCTGTAGCATCATCTTACATTTGGCGGGAGCGAATCGCATGCCAAAAATTCGTAGATTGAAGCTCAAAGTGTTCGGAAGACTATGCATTTGTCAGCGCCTTCACTTCGCAGGGAGGACTATATCATTCTCATATTCGAAGTCAACGAAATTACTCCCTGGTAACAAGTCAATCCCTGAGTCTCTGGCACCATAATTAGATCCCAGGATAGACGACTGGAAAGAACACTACAAGGAGCAGTTAATTGGCCCACATCCACACTTAGCCTGCCGGACATCCAGCACCTCCCTGAATGGGATATAGACACAGGTCCTCCGTCCCTAACTGAGGTTACTAGAGCAGCCACTAATCTGAAGCAAGGCAAAGCAGCGGGACCTGATGGATTGACTCCAGAGGTATTTAAGTATGGTGGAGACAGTTTACTGTCTGCGTTAACTGTGGTTCTAGGCAGCGTCTGGGAATCAGAGGAAGTCCCATCGGGTTGGTGTAAGTCACTAATTATCCCCATATACAAGAAGGGAGACAAGTCTTCCTGTGATAATCACAGAGGGATTAGCTTGACTAATACAGTATCTAAAGTCCTAGGCTTGATAATATTGCGTAGACTAAGTGGTCCACGGGAGGAACACTAACGAGAGAAGCAGCTGGAATCCAGACCAGTAAGAGGGTGTGTTGATCATATTTTCACCCTCCGACAGATTCTAGAACACAGGCATTCTTACCGGCGTCCAACAATCATTATATTTCTTGACCTAAAGGCGGCATTCAATCCTGTCGACCGAGGGGTGCTCTGGCGATGCTTGGGTGTTAAGGGAATGCCAAGAAAATACATTACACTGATCAACGCACTCTACTCGAACTCATGCAGCCAGGTGAGAGCTTATGGCGAGTTGTCATCTGAAGTGGTGACAACTAATGGTGTCTGTCAGGGATACCCACTATCCCCATTTCTATTCAATTTCACCACTGATGGACTTAATCATAACTCACTTCAGAGACTCAGGGATTGACTTGCTACCAGGGAATAATCTCGTTTACTTAGAACATGCAGATGATATAGTCCTTCTAAGCGAGGACGCTGACAAAATGCAGTCTTCTGAACACTTTGAGCTGCAATCTACGAATTTTTGGCATGCGATTCGCTCCCGCCAAATGTAAGATGATGTTACAGTGCTGGACTACACTGACTCCTAGTTTAGAAATATGGAGTGAAGTGGTAGAGCACGTTGACCACTTCACTTATCAGGGAAGTACCATCAACCCCAACGGGTTGATCTCTGACGAAATCTCAGCACGGACACAGAGGGCTAGTTTCGCATATGCCAGTCTACGCCATTTGTGGCGTAGATGTGATATCCGGCTGGTTATCAACCAAGGGACGTGTGTACTGCTCATTTGTGGCTATGAGTGAGAGATGGTCATTGAAAATGGAAGACATGAAAAGATTAGATATCTTCGACCATAGGTGCCTGCGTTCTATCTCCCGCGTGAAGTGGTATAATATGGTGAGCAATATTGAGGTTAGGAGTCGAGTGCTAAGTAAGGAGGGGAAATAAGTCGATGAGGCTGTGAATTTACATCAAATGAGATGTTTAGAACATGTGTTACGTATGCCTAGCCATCCTCTTCCTTGACCGACGGGCAATGTTAGCTGACATAGGACCGTTCAGGTTGAAAAAGAAATAGCGGCTGTCAAACCAAAACATGGCCTCATCAGTCGATGAAATCCACAACAGTTAGTATAAGCCACTTGGGGAGGTGTAGACTTCCTGAGTAGTTGGGGTCCTCGAGACGGTAAACACCAATGAAGGCTGGAAACAATTGGTGATATGGCTCAAATCGTTCCCAATGGCTAACTCAGATGCATCCACTCCTTGTGACTTATGATTTCTAATTAAACTGTTTTGTTCTTCGTTATTACTATTCCTTTGTCTCACACCTGTTTACTGTCTATAATATATATTTCTTCTACTTTCTCTTGCTTTGTATGCTACATGGAGTGTGGCGACTTGAACTGTCGCACATCGGTGCAAAGTTCTATGTTGAAAATAGACAGACAGAGTCTCTGAAGTGAGTTATGATTAAGTCCATCAGTGGTGAAATTGAATAGAAATGGGGATAGTGGGTATCCCTGACAGACACCATTAGTTGTCACCACTTCAGATGACAACTCGCCATAAGCTCTCACCTGGCTGCATGAGTTCGAGTAGAGTGCGTTGATCAGTGTAATGTATTTTCTTGGCATTCCCTTAACACCCAAGCATCGCCAGAGCACCCCTCGGTCGACAGAATCGAATGGGTTTAAAGCTCATGAGTATTAACTACGCAATGAAGAGTCGGAAAAGAAAAAGACGTCGGTGATAATATTTGTTGTATGTCAAAACTTATATAGGCACAGATTTTGACATGCCAGCAGTAGGTTTTGGTATGAAGACTAAACGAGCAAGACCAATATAAGAGCTTACTTCTGGAATTAGAAAATGTAGCTTCTAACTTAGCAGAGGTTAGCGATCAAAGATTAATCAAACTAATTTGGCGCATCATCTTCTACTCTTAGGAGTCGCTGTTTGCGGAAGGACAAAAAGACATGATTCTTTAAGGGAATGGTAAAAATCACTATTATTGAAATAGTCCGTCTATCACACATTCATATCCGTATTTATGAACGGTAAGACCGAAGTTTACATGAGTCATAGTCTAGTCCCATCTGTCTATTGGTTAGCAAATGACCGTTATGCCTGTTTCTATGAAATAATGTCATATGGTAAGACTTATTTCACATGTAAATATGCCAAATTATCATTGTTAGCCAAATACCTGACAATTGTTCAAAAATGATACATTTAATTCGAAATATTTATATCTTATGATTATACAGTAAGGTAAAGTACAAATTACACTACAGAATATCAGGATTTCTACACATTAGTATAATTCAAGATATAAAACAATAAGTTATGACAGTTTTTGACGAGGTGGAGGAGGTTGAATATTCAATGAAGCACGGAAATCTTCAAGTTTGTCCTCCCAGTGTTTTTCAAAGTAGACACACATTAGAAAGTCAGCCTGTCTACCAGTTTGAATAGCGTATTCCAGATGGCTTGTTATGTAATTCATTGTTTGTCTACAAATAACAATAAGCAGTGCAAAAATACAACATAACTTATATCGACAAAATTAAGGACATCTAGAGTAAGAAAACTGTTACTAAAACTAACTTGGGTGCTAAACGCAGAGAACCAAAATAAGCACCAGTGACACACATAGGGAGGAGTGTCTGTATGCCTTCGACCCATTTTACGACAACCTCACCCAACATGTCAGTTGGCTGACCAAGTAACGTGTGAACCAAGTCATGCACTTCTCTGTACCGAAGCATGACATAAGCCAAGTCCGGGTCATTTACAAATTTGACATAATGTCTTTCATCTGGTGAGTAATTCTAAAAATGAATTACTACATAGTCATAGGGCTTACATATTTATCTAAGAAGTTAGTGTACGCTTTACCAAACGTGTCTTCAGGTAGACTGCGAAGAGCATTCAGGTCAACTGTATTCGTACGGATAGTTGGTCGTTCACTGAAAGTCAAAATGAAAAATGAAAATACCTTAATATACGACAACCCTCAGGGTGATTTAGCATGCGATTATGTATCCTACGTAGAGCATATTCCCCACTGGTTTCTCCGAACGTGCTGAGTAGATCTGTGGCATAAAATGCAGCATAGCAGCCTACCTGCCCTTTTAGGGTTGAGCAGGCACCCTATTCCGCTGCCAATACGAAGAAGAGATCTTTGCAGGGGACTAAGCAATACATGACCAGGGTAATTTTCCGCGTCAACAGAGATATATGGTTCTGCAACGCCTTACAAAAAATGTCATACTGAATGAAATTTCCAACCTTCTGAATGTTGGAAGCGACACAAACGCGTCAAAACTGGCAGACACCTTCTGAAGGTCAAACTCATTTGGAAAATGTGCGCACGAACGACCTTGAACCTCTAAGCAGTTCAACAAAATACAAAATAGATTTTCAGACTATCAAGTATAGTAGGCTTTGGACTCATATTAATCGTTCTGATATGCTGCGCATTTGATATTCGATTTTTTCCAAATGAATTTATACTGGATGTTGAAACGAAATGTTACGTTAGTAAACACCTCGGAGTCACATTGCTATGGAAGAAATGAACTATTAGAAGTATACTTTCAATGCTCGGTTTGTTTAGTTTAAAATAATCGTTTCTAGAAGGAAGGCCGGTTTTAATAAATCAGCACCTAAGTCATCATAAGAGGTACAGAATGCTGCGTCGGTGGCACAGTGGTTAGGACTCTCGCCGACCATGCACATGGTCCGGGGTTCGATCCCCTGCCGGCGCACACCCGATATCTATGGTCGGCCTGAATTTGGGCTACCGATATCCATGCTGAAAATTCCACACTTGCACTGAAAATACGGTGTGGAATCAAGCTGTAAATCAAAAAAATAAAAATAAAATACTCAGTCATCGATGCAGTGGTACGAATAAGTCTGGTGAATCCAACCACTATTTATACTGTGAGTTTATTCTAATTCTATCACTTAAGCTAATTGTAACCAGTCTTCTACAAGTGTGAAATGAATACATGCTGCCAGCATCCTCCATTCCGAATATGATCTGACACGTGTGAGATAAACTATGCGACCTGTGTCAGTACATAAACCTTAAGAAGTAACCATTATATCATAAAAAGTTTTCAAATTGCTACGTTCTTCACTCCTTGATTTGCGAATACTTCCAGTTTCTTCTACGCTGTAAGTGTAAGTGGAAGTACTTATCGGATAAGTGTGCATGTTATTGTGAACATCACAACTAAACTCTCGCACTTTGTAAGTTTCAAATAATGGTGGTTAAACTACCAAATCCTTCTTGCAACGAACCTCAACATCTAGTATGTATAAAGTACACTACAACTTGGAATCGTTGGTAGGCGCCGGGTAGTCTGTTTTAATTACCGACAGAAGCTTGATAACACATATTAAGAGGAGAAGGGGGTCCAGAATTGTGGCTCAAAGGATATCACTATTCACCGGTTACCATAGGAGCAATTACAACTCTTTGTCTTCTAGCTTTAATCTAGCCCTGAAATCAGTCTCCCACCATTTCATTAGTTTCAAGACTAAGTAGATTTCGATAGGGAACCCAGTTATAAGCTTTACTGCAAGTTTGACTTCAACTGAAGAATAAAGAAATTAATAGGATGTTAGTGTCATCTGAGTTACCTGAAGTTTTAAGTGATAAAAGAAAGTCGTTCAGATACATGTGCCTCGGTGTAAAATACGGCTGTCCCCTTGATAAGATTATATAGTCCTAAACACGCAGAAAATAAAAATCACGGAGGATTCGATCTGATGACCTGACAACAACATTAGTTAGACTAGATGGTTAGCAGTTCCTAGCCAAAATTCCGTTGTGGAAACAAAATACTGGCATACTGAACAGAGATACTGAATGATGTATTGAACAACAGAGACAAAAATTTGTCTTTGCTTTAGTGGAGTTTACCAGGGTTGCTGGAATTATTAGGATATTTTCCATCCAACTGTGCATGCTACTAAGTGTATAATGCCTGAAGAAGTTCTTGGTCAAATTAGTGTGACAAGATCTAAACTTCCATCATATAAGTGTCTCACCGTCATTATAGTTCAGTATAGAGGTAGCTTCATTTTTCCTTGTTTTCCTCCTAACAAATGAGGGAAGTCATCTCAGGTAACTCCATAAGTATGTCACTAGCTCTTCATATGATCTAAGTCTTACACTGGTTCTCGATTTCGCTTTATTTCAGTGAAGAAGTCCTAGAGGTAGAGAGGTTTTTGTGTAATACAATTCGCCGGATTATTATACATCTTCTGAAGGATACATCCATACATAATCGTTTTAAGGTGCTAATATATCCTTCAAAAGATGTATATTAATATGTATACTATATTCATACGCAATAGCTTTCTAGAAAAATTAACGCTAAAATGGGTCATGCTTTAAATTAAGGAGTTGTCCCTTAGCTTAGCAGGCGTTAACAATCCGAGGTCCTCATTGTCCGAAGTGAGTGAAATCAAAGGTCTGATTATATATTGAGCCCGGCTTCTATCGAAAAAGTCGCAAGGCTTCCACCAGTCAGCGGCTCTTCAGTAACCAGCCCACCTGGAGCTCTACGTACAGTACAAATCATACGTTCCCAAACGCCACCGCATTGGCTTGCAGCCGGTGGGATGAAATGCCAGTAAGTACCTCCACTTACTAAAGTGCTATGCTATTCCACTCCTTTAAGCACCTATCTTATTTTGTTTTCGCTCCCACCAAACTGGCTCCATTGCCATAGGATATTTCCTTTGGATGTCCTTTCCCACCAGTAAACCTCTCCTTCGCCATTATGGAGGAGGTCGTGAATGAGTTGTGAGTTGCCTCTAGACACACAGCTCGTAGATTCAGACAGATCAGAATACAGTCGCAGCTTTTTTCAGAATTCTCAACTGGTCTCACTGTTATCAGCCCGAAGTATTCGGTACCTACTGAGAAGAACGTCGGCGTGAATGCCACCAGCTGAGGCTCTGACTTAACAGTTCTCCTCCTACACCACACACAGCTTCCGATAACCTTCCTAATTGCTACACCTCGCAATATGCAAAACTTTCCGCCGACAATACCAGTACCTGTGTAGCATCTCCACGGCATTCTGCTCTGTAATAGTGCCTTAGAACCAACTATTAGACACATTTTCTCGAGGGCATTCTTACTTCGTGATTCTTTTCATCGGGCCTTAACGAGTGTTATAATCGACTGTCCAAATAAATGAAGTCGTCTAGTAAGATGGGATCAATTATGCTCAAGGGCGTGTTGAGTGTTTGTACACCCCAACCTACCAGATGCCATTGACAACTTAAGTTCCTCCTTAAATTCTACCACCTGAACCATTCTTACGACGTCCATACTATCACGTTTTAATTATTCTATACCATCAGGGGGGCTAAATTAAGAGATGTATCACTTCTGATAAAAAGCGCTGTGAGTATATAGCAGTTGAATCAAGCCACCCAGGTGATGGTCTTCAACAGCCTGTCCCAGTCTGTGGAGCAATATAGGACGCAACATAAGCTAGAGGTGACATATACCATCACCGTATTCTTCGTCTCTTTTTGACTGCCTCCTGGTTGCATATTTACGTCTGACACCATCAATCCAGCTTTGTGTCAACTTAGGAATGAAGGGCTCTTTGCCATATCAAAGATATTTACTCTAGAAGAGCGCATCACGAGGTTCAAAATCTATGGCATCCTTCTTCGAGGGCACATGTCTCCATCGGGAAACATTTGAGAGGTGGTTAATTGTTGAGACTCGGTTAGCCACTGTTTTAAATAGATTATCTGTACCATTAATGTGGTGCAAAACAATTTTCCAGCGAGTCCAGCGCGTCGCTTCAGAAAAGGCTAGCCTCTATTTCTAAACGCAAAGAAATTCCCATACGTGGAGGCAATCAATTCAAACACAGTGTGGATTCAACTTTAAGGGATGCTACCCTAGCTTTCGTTTTAACAAGAAGACAACAGGCATTTGTATGTTGTTCAGCATGTCTGATACAAAATATAGTCCCATAATCACTTTCAGAAGCATCGAAAAGCATGTGTAACTCTTTAATTTGATGATTCACTCACAAAGGTGTCAGTCAAAAGGGAAATGACAAGTCAACAACCATTTCAAAACTGTGCAGAAATTTCATCCAGATGTCGCCCTCCTTCTTAGGCATTTAGCCATCCTGATCCATGCCCGATTTGCGTAGTTTTTGTAAAAGTTGTTTAGCAGGTACTAAGATGCTTAAATGGCTGTATATAGATATTATAAATAAAAGAATCCTCCTTTGTTGCCCGTGACAAACCTAACGCACCTTCTATAGAGTGTTTCTCAAAGTCTGTTTCTCTCACTGTTGGTGCGAGCTTTTCTGACGGTGTAGACACTTCTGGTTGCATGGCGTTGCTCACCTATCTTATCAGTATAAATCCTCCATTCGTATGAATAAACCTCATCTGTCCAACCGAGGAAATAGCCTGTTCAAGATTATCCGTTGATGTTAAGTAGTCATCCACACAGAAACACTTTGCAAAAAGTCTGAGAACTATATCTGATCTTTCGCTACGGATGGTCTCAACCATTTTTCTCGAGGCATAGTTGGCACGGAGAGGAGATGACCTGGCACAAAGTTGATGAACGGTGAATTCATTCTCGGAAGCCGATTTGGTTACATCACCATCCTTCCACCATAACAGATGATACTCCCTCTATCTTGTTTCGGAATCTTCACCTGCAAAGACATTTATTCTCTGTCAGGAACCAGCGATACAACTTCAACTTGGGGGCCTGAAAGTTTCTCAACTAAATCACAGACAACTGATCATTCGAAGATGTATCACTGGAACTAGCCGGACAGTCAAAAACTACTCGAAGCACTTCAGGGTTTTTCGGAATTTCAGCAGTGTTTGATATTTATTCTTCTTTCTCCTTATCATCCGTTATCAAAGAGTGTGCGAGTCTAAGAAGACTAGAAACAATCGATACATCTGCATTGACGCAGTATACTGATACGAAGTACAAAATTTTATACGCTAATCAAATCCAATAATCCCCGCAAGTTTTTATCTCTATCAATTGGCCAACTTGAAAACGACATCAAAATTACTTCATAGCGAATAATGATGATTAGGCTGTTATATTTAAGCCGAAATTTGTAAATTTTGGTTTAATAGTTCATTTTTTAAATGAAGATGTGATAAGATTAAGGAGATGGTAAGAGAGAGATTGAAAATATAATTAAGGGTAGTGGAGAAGTCATCAGCTGGTTAGGTATTAATAGGCCAAGGTAGGGATAATGGCTGTATCAACTTCTCTTGAATGGATATTTTAGGCTTAATAGTTCGAATGCCATGACCACTATAAACTAATTGTGACAAAATTGAGCTACGGA